TAATATATAATAATATATATATATATATATATATATATATATAGTTTGAACGTAAAAGAATATTGAAATACGAACCATGCTTGCGATATATGTCCTGTTCATGCAAAGGCATGTATATAGTTAGTATTCGTAAATAACATACGCATGATCATGTGTGCAACATATAAGTATCATCCTACCACGAGGAGGTCAGTATGTGTCACAGTATTGCGGTGGAAGCTACCGGCATCATCTGACTAACACAAACATCGTTTAAAAGTTAAGAATATTTTAGAATTTTGAAAAAAGTGACAAAAATATAAACATTATTATGATTATAATTAAAAATCAAAAAAAAAAACACAATTGATTACAATTATTATCTAGTGATTATGGACAGTATTAATAGCTTTTAACATTTCTACCTATGAAGAAATAGTTTGTATATATAAAAGTGATTAATTTTTAAAGAAATTACAAGTAAACAATAATCGAAAAAAAAACCAAAGATTATAAAATGTGTGTTATCGTGTTAATTAATTTATAGATATGATTTATGTTTTTTCGATTTTCATGCTGTGAATTAATGTCAATTTTTTCTCAATAATTGTCAATTACTTGTTAGAATTATTGTTTTCCAATAATGAGATGTATATTGTGTAAATGCATAAGACAATGATATATCAACGATTAAAATTATAAATTATTAATGATTGAAATTATTAATCAAGACTTACTAAGAATTACAAAAGACAATGAAATTATATAAATAATTAACAATTAAATTAACAATAAAACAGAAATTAAATAAAAAAGAAATATATAATATATAATAAAATGTTCTGATTAAAAACATACGACGAAGTACCTACAAATGCATGAACAAAATACATTTTGAAATATCAATTATAGAGGTCGTGATTATCTGAAGATATCATGTCGCGCAACGAATTTATGGATCTACCTTGAAGATCAAATATGAAAAACTGGAATATTTATATTTTTTCTGATAGGCTAAAAACATTAAAATATTTTCGGATTAGAAAAGGTGATAATCATAAAATAGCAGGCTATTTCATTCATAATTGAAAAAGAGAGGTAAATCAAGGCTAAACGACAGTCTCGACAACTATGATCGATTTCCATTTATTCGACAACGATCAGATGTGATTATCATGAGTTGTACATATAAATGTCGATTGAATCGGAATCTAACTTTTCATCGATTTATCGCTTTCTATCGATACATTATCGATCGATCAGCAAGTGAAATAAAATTATAAGTTAAAAAAACATTTATTGATCAATATGGTTGCATTTAATTTCATAATAGTTAATCTTTCTAAGAAAGAATTTTCGGTTCTGATATAATATTACATATAACAATTCAGTAAGTTTCTTGTTTGTTCAATCTGTAATTTGCAATCTGTAATCGCCAATGAAAATATTTATAAAATTATTATCATTCAATATTAATAATATGATTCTATAAAAAGTTGTGGCATTTTGATATTTTCATGTGTTACATTTTAACGTGTTATAAATTAATATCATTCAAATGAAAAAATTGAATTTGCTCTTAGTTAAAAAAGATAGCATTCTGTTATTTGGATATACAGAATGACAACATTGATCAAGATTGTCGCGAAATGTGCATTTTTTTTTAAATATCATCGATGACAGAGAACTTTTTGGTATTATTTATTAAATTTAATTGAACGCAATGGATAATAGTGAACTTCAAGTCGAAGATGAAACACAGGTATCGTATTTCTATATTCTCTTTTTTGTTTATTTTTTTCTTTTTATTTTCTCATTAATAAATTTTATGATCTATTTTACGATCTACACATAAAAGATCTATATGAACTTTTAATGATATTATTATATGAATAAAAACAATGAATATTTTAAAAATTGCATCGTTATTTTATCTTGATCTAATCAATGAATCTTTCGAATAAAATGTATGTAAATAATCGATCACCAAACTAGTCACGTATTGTTCTATAATATGCTATGCAATACAAATGATATTTACGTGATAAATGTTTCTATGAATAAATATCTCGTATCATTAAATAAATTATTAGTAGTACATAATAATAATTAGGTAATATGAATAATATATTAATGTACATAACTAATCGAAGACGTTACTAACAAAATAACTATCGAAAAATAATAAAACATTATTAATTCTAATTTTTTTATTAAAAAACAACAAATAATTTAATAATATAATAAATAATTTATTAATTTAATAAATAATATAATATATATTGAATAAAATATAATTAATAAAAATTATTTGTTTAGAATAATCACAGTAGACGGCAAAGTTTGTCTACTAGCAATACAATTATTACCGAATCAAGCTCAAATGAATCTCAAACGAATGTGAATGCAACAGGAACGAGGAATTCGCCATCGAAAGCATCATCAACTAGTTCTTCACCCCAAAAAACGACAACCTCAATAATATCAAATTCTCCTACTATAAACAAAAATATAAAAATTGGAAATAACAAAGAAATGATATACGAAATGAATAAAAATGGTATTCAATCAAATGAATCGCCAAAAGTTAACAAGAAATTATCTAGAACCAATATTTATTCATCGGGAACAAATTTGACTGCTCGGGACGCTTTTGGTAGGATTCAAATAAATTTTTTGATTTTTTTCTTTTTCTTTTCTTCTATTTCTTTTTTCTTTAACTTTTTTTATTTAAATTATTTGAGATATAAAAGTTTTTTAATTTTTTTGTTTTCTATTTATATTTAAAAAATGTATAAAGAACATTCAAATTAATTAAGAACTTGAAAAGAATTCAATATATAATAATCGGAATAAGTATTTGCAATTACACATTGGCCTTATAGTTGAAATAGGCCTAAGTCAATAAACTACGATCAATATATATATGAATGTCAGTGTGTCACGAATAATAGATATGAATAATGTATCCGTAACTTCATCGCAACCGTAAAGACTTTATGAATATCGGACCATTGTCAAACCAACACGTGTCTCCTATTATTATCTTCCTTTTTGATTTTATATAACATGAAACTTTTGATGATGATTACTATACCCTTTATATTACTTTAAAATTTATATGACATACGCGATATTGAGCATACATTTTTTATACGATCTGAATCTTCAAGGTCAAAGGATGTTGATTAGTTTTATTTAATTAATTTAAGTTATTTTTGAGTTATAATTAACAGATTAAAATTTCATACAACAGATGCTGATAACTTCATTTATACGTTCAAAAGCACTTTGGAAAAATAATATTTTTACAAAGTTTGTTTATCTTGTATATGGCAATTATTTAAAGAATGATTATTTTAGTTACAGATAATATTAATATATTGAATTTTCAAGTTTTAAATTAGTTTGAAGATGTTTTTATCCTTCATAGGTCCTAAACTTACAGTACCAACGACACCAGAAGATACACCACCATTACCAGGAACACCGATATTTTCTAATGATGTACCAAGAGATTCTTTGTTACAAAAGGATTCATCTTCAGAAACGGAATAGATACTGAAACACTTTATTTCCGGTTTGTAATGACATTAGTTCGTAATCAATTAATTTTTTTTAACTAATTTTCTCTGATTTATTTTGATTAATTTGATTTTATTTTTTTTTCTCATAAAAATGTAAACTCAAAATTAAATTAATTAATTTTATTGATGATTAGAATTTTAATTCTGACATTTTATTGTTGTGTTGTAATTTTAATATTTTAATTAATAGTTTAAAAAAAAAAATAACAGTATGTATAACAGGCAAAAATAATATAGTTAGTCAAGAATATTCTTATCAAGGAAATTATTATTAGAAAATAATATATGTATATGTGACATTACAAAACCCACGACGTATAAAAAAAGTTTATATAATTAATTTTCTTATTGCGTGACCAGCGAATTAGATTATTGCGATTTTATGTCTTAATATGTTTACCTGATTCCTTTCGTTCGTGTCTAATTTAATTTTAGATTTAACGATATTATGTGCTATCTATTTTCTTTATTATTAGATTATTTTGAAAGAATCCTAATATATATTTAATAATCTCATTTCTTAAAGAAATTATTTGTTCTACTAAATAATTTTAAAATAAAATTAAACAACATTTAAGTAATTATAATTCAAATTATATAGAAATGATATTTAAAAATCTTTAACAATCTTGAAAAATCTTAAATAAATGATTTTAAAATGATCTTAAATCAGAAAAATAAAATAAAGAAATAAAAGAAATAAAATAGAAATAATCTTTATACAATTTTAAAAATGTCCTGAAAAAAGCTTAAAAACAACTTGGAAATGAAATGATTGAAATAATTTTATGATAAATAAATATGAAATAAATTTATAGAATTAACTTTAAAATCATTTTAAATAATCTTAAAATAATTTATATTATTTTAAAATAATAAATTACTTAGTTTATAATTTCCTTGATAAGAATATTTAGTTAAATTAATTAGTTTATAAATAATGCAATTTTTCAAATAATCTTTTAGGAAGAAATATTTCTTGATTAATAACAATTAATATAAATTTTAATTATTATAAGTTATTAGATATGATATAATAATACATTATATATATATATATATATATTACTTGCAGAGACGGTCGTAGACGCATTGATATGGTTTTGGTATATCACGAAGAAAATAATGGAGTAATGACTGAATTAGAAGCACGTCGAAAGGAGCAAAGACGTGTTTTTCAACAGAATTTATTAAAAGAAGGTTTGCAATTAGAATTAGAACCAAAAGAAAATTCTTTCGACGGAAAAACTTACTTCTTAAAGTTGCACATTCCATGGAAAATTAAGGTTCAATATGCTGAAGTAATGAATTTGAAATTACCCACCAAAAGATTTATCACTATATCTGTTAAAGCTTGGGTAAGATTATGAAATTTTTCAAAATTTAATTACTTATATTTATATCAATGTAGTTTTCTAATTTATAATGTCCTTTAAAGGAATTTTTATCTTTTAATGAATAATTTTAATATTTATTCATATTATTTTGTTATTAGCAAAGCAATGAAGATGTAAAAGAAAGTCCGAAATTTTGGGAAAGATGGATACAATGGATAAAAGAAATACATACCTGGGATACGAAGAAGTATCCGGAAGAACCTAGTTTTTATGATAGCATTGATTCTGGCGATCGAGAAGAAAGGTAAAAATGTAAAATATTAATTAAATATTTATTTACTTATATATATATTATACTGTTATAGATTTGTAGTAAAAGATAGAGATACAGCTTATACTCCTGCTCAAAGATCTTTAATAGTAATGCAAATTTTATTAAGAGCACGATACGATGAAAATCACGAAAAGGCAGGTATCCGAAGACTTTTAGCAGATGGTACTTATCTTGATTGTTATTCTCTGCACGAGGGTCCGTATAACAAACCTGGATTAAATGGTGAAAATTTAGATAGACACTTATTATATTTAATATGGGCTAGACCTTCGCAATGGTAATTTTATCACTCATTTTTTTAGTTTATTTAATTATATTATGAATGTTAATATTACGAATATAAGTAATTATATTTTATTAATAATTTTTATATATTTCTATCTTTACTATTTCTTTCTAGGTACAAAAGACAACCTCTATGGTTAATCAGACGATATTTTGGAGAAAAAGTAGCTCTTTATTTTGCATGGTTAGGATTTTACACAAAATGTTTATATGCACCAGCAATTGTTGGCCTTTTATGTTTTATGTATGGCGTAGGAAGTATGGATGGACCAGACAATGTACCGAGTAAAGAAATATGTGATTATAATATAGCAGGTATTTTTATTTTATACAATTTTAATTTTATTTCATAATTTCTCATTTTACTAACAAAAATCATTTCTCTTAGGAAATATTACTTTATGTCCTGTCTGCGATAAAGCATGTAGCTATCAAAGACTCGGCGAATCCTGCTTATTTTCAAAATTAACTTATTTATTCGATAATCCTGCTACTGTCTTCTTTGCTATTTTTATGTCATTTTGGGGTATGCTATTAATACATAATTTAATATCATAAAGAATATTTTTTATTTTTTTTAATGTTTTAGCCACAACATTTCTTGAATTATGGAAACGAAGACAAGCTGTAATAATTTGGGAATGGGATCTTCAAAATGTTGAAAGCGAAGAAGAGCCTCGACCTGAATTTGAAACTACAGTAAAAACATTTCGAATAAATCCTGTGACTAGAGAAAGAGAACCTTATTTACCAGTATGGTCTAAGGCTTTACGTTCTTGTGCCACGGGTTCTATAGTATTTTTTATGGTAATTATATATCTCGTGATATTTATTGCAATAAATTTTAAATAATAAATTTATATTTAGATATGCGTTGTTTTGGGTGCTGTACTGGGAACTATTATTTCTCGAATATCGTTAGTATCCGTATTTTATGAAGGTGGAGGTCCATTTTTACAAAAGCATGCAAAGATTTTCACTTCTATGACTGCTGCCCTTATTAATTTAGTGATTATTATGATCCTTACACGAGTGTATCATCGTTTAGCACGATGGATGGTGAACATGGAAAATCCTAGAACACAGACTGAATACGAATCCAGTTTTACATTCAAGATATTTTTGTTCGAATTTGTCAATTTCTATTCATCTCTCATTTATATAGCCTTCTTTAAAGGGAGGTTTTATGTTCATCCTGGAGATGCTGATGCAAGAGCTACAGAATTTTCTCGTATAAAAACGGACGTGTGCGATCCAGCTGGATGTTTGTCGGAACTTTGTATACAACTTGCTATTATAATGGTAGGCAAGCAATGTTTCAATAATTTTGTAGAAATATTATCACCAAAAATGTGGAATTGGTGGCGTAAAAGAAATCATATTGCTGCTACGAAAGATCATGGCAGACCGTATACTTACTGGGAGAAAGATTATCAGTTGCAAGATCCTGGAAGACTGGCACTCTTTGATGAATATTTGGAAATGATTTTACAATATGGATTTGTGACTTTGTTCGTCGCTGCATTCCCGTTAGCGCCATTGTTTGCGTTATTAAACAATATAGCTGAAATACGACTAGATGCATATAAAATGGTAAAAGAAGCGAGAAGACCATTAGCGGAAAGAGTACAAGATATAGGAGCTTGGTACGGTATATTACGTGGAGTAACTTACGTTGCTGTAGTATCGAATGCATTCGTTATTGCATACACGTCAGATTTCATCCCTCGTAGCGTATATGCTATCGTTTACTCACCCACGGAGGATTTAGTGGGTTACATTGACAGTTCTCTATCAGAATTTAATACATCAGATTATCGAGATGACATGAAAAGCGATATGGATACTAATCATCCGGAAACTTGTCAATACAGAGGTTACAGAAATGGGCCGGACCATGCTAACGATCCATATGGACTAAGCCCGCAATATTGGCATGTTTTCGCAGCTCGTTTAGCCTTCGTTGTTGTTTTTGAACATATTGTTTTCGCTTTAACTGGCATAATGAGTTATGTAATACCAGCCGTGCCTCGTTCTTTGGCAACCCAACTTCAACGAGAACGTTTACTTGCTCAAGAGGCTAAGTATGAAAAAGGTATAAAAAGTAGAGAAGATGATGATGATATTTTATCGATGCTTAGAGAAGCAGGTAGCATTGGAAGAGCTGCAGGTGGTGGTAGAGGTAGCTGGGCAAGACGCTTTAGTAAATTAAGCGATGGCTTAGATGCCCATGTTGATATAGCTTCCAGACACAATAGAAACAGTGACGGTTCGACTGTGTGGGAGGTAACATGATTTTAAAATAGATTCATAGATATATAGATTATATTATTTTCTTGAGATACTTAAAAAATATTTTTTAAATGCCTCGCTTATTTGTACAAAAACTACTTACTTATATCGTTATATAAATAATATTTACGATAGCAAAATCCTATATAAATATCGGAATAACAAGTACAAATAAATAGAACATTAATTGTGATATTTTAAAAAATTGCATAAAATATGCGAACAAGAAACAAAAAACAATCAAATTAATATGTGATGTTGTAATAAATGCCAAACGTATATCAATACTTTTCAAAGATATATCAAAGATATATATGATTTTCAAAGAAAATCATTTTAAAAATTTTTAACATTTGACTAAATGTGTGACTTATATAATACTTTCAGTATTAATATATACGTAATTAAAAAAATCTCTTTTATAATTGAATATGATATTCTATTTTCTATAATTATATTTCTATAAAATAATTTTTAAATCACAATATTACATAATAGAAGAACGAAAGTACTGATTAATAAAAAATATAAATGATAGCCGAATTGTATTTCTATTGCTTGTTATCATTTAGCTGTTAAATATTTAATAATGTGAAGGACAAAGGATTTTCTCAAAATTTACACAATATACTCTTTATTGTACATAATTTCAATATTTCATTCTCCATTTTATGCTTGACATTATTACAATAATTACTATAGAATATATTATAATAATATACATGTACATATTTACTTTTTTTTTGCTATTGATTCACGATTTATATGTATAATTCTATATGCATATTGGCATATAATTCATTCCATACTGCACTTTCTTGCGTCTTCTGCTTCCTTTTTAAAATCTAAAAGTGTATCACAGTTGTGTTGAGGGATAGATAGGGATCTTTTTTTTTACTTTTTTCTTGTTTTAAAGAAAAGGAGACCATTCGGATGACTGAAATCGATACATAGTCCATTCAGTCAGATCTCCGGATCTGACGGACACATGAACTTAAAATTTATTAGCCATAATTCTAGTAAACGAATGCGATGAAATGTATCCTACATTCCTCAATCTGTTTATATAATATGCAATATTTATCCTATTTATACAATCATCTACACCTTTTTCAAAAATATATTGTTATAGGCGTTTAAATGGCAAATCATAAAAATGTAATTCATCATTTCATAATTTTAAAAATGAGAAAGAATCTTCATGTTTTCTTATTTGCTTTTTTTATTCTAAATTTTCTACGAATAAAATCATTTGTAGCGATCCATCTTATAATAACATATATTCTTGTAATATTATTGCTTTTGTGCTAAATTTACATTTTTTTGGGCATTTCGTAGAAAAAAGTGTATATATACACACACATACACGTGTATACGCATGCATACGTGTGATAAAGTTATTTATTAGGTAAAATATTTTTTTTTTAAATAAATGTTTTCGCCCCTATATTATTGCAGAAATAATTTTGGTTATTCTTTGCTTATTTTTATCAGTATGTGTATTAGAACTAACATGCATTATATTGCGATATATGATTCAGATATGCAAAATTATCAAAGCAATTCTCTTCTGTTAATTTATAAAAATATTTTGTAGATTTGAACAACAGAGATTGATATATATATATATATTTTTTTTTTAGTTAGGAAAACTGTACAAATTTCATTTTTAGATATCTTTCAAAGATGAATGGCTTCAACTTAGTTTATTCAATCGAACAGGATATAAAGCCTTATATTTACTATATAGTCACTATATAGTCATTTGGTAAAAAAACCTCTAAAAATATACTATATGCGATAAAATATTCTATATCCTTTCGAAAAATAAACTTTCAATAAAAATATGTCATATGTTAAAAAGACAAATTGTAAAAAGGAATGTAACAGCATCTCATCACGTACAAGCTATATCACGATAAAATTTTCGTTGAATTGCTCTCTCGCATCAATGCATTTACCAATTATGCTTCAAATATTTGGCTAAAAAATTGTGGTAAATACATTAATATGGAACTTTAAATGCATTCCTATGAAATTTTCTTGTAAAAATGTTACGTAAACAGTATGAATTTGTAAAATATACTATACAAGCAAAATATCCGACTTGACTAATCCTTCTGAGTGGACTAAATCTCGATTTCTAAATTCCAAAAGATGCGATTTAATTTAGGTAAGAGGTAGGAAGATGTAACACTTAACTAGATCCAGGAGGAGCATTGAAATTAAACATGGTAGTTGGTGGACGTCCCGGCAATGGTTTTGGCGGTAGTCTTGGTGTTACCGATCCTGAAATTCATTATAAATATTGTAAAAAAATTATAATGAAACAATTATATGCAAGGTATATTTGAAAAATTTAATATTAAAGTATAAAATTTAAGATATAAGTCGTATAAAGATTTTCATGAGAAAATTCTTAATATAATCTAATATTTTTACCATTAGGTTGCGTAGGTGGAAGTTTTGTAGGACTGGGCCCATTGAAAGACATATGCCTTCGTGGATGAACAGTACTCGAACACGTGTTCTCCAACGTCGAATTCCGCCTAGCGAGTAGCGCTGAACAATTTGGATTTAACGTTGTAGGAAGGCGAGGTGGTAACATCACCGGAGGTAAATCTTTTCGTGGCGGTAATGGTGGTGGAGACGTACCATCTCGTGGAGGAAGTATTGGTGCATTTGGAGCTTGTCTCGCCTATATATCCAAAAATAAATGATACAAAACATGTTATAATATAAAGTATATAATTTGAACAAAAAATAAATTAAAAGAACTTTTTTTAATAATTTACCTGTTGTGGTGATTCACTAATAGAACTTTCTCGTTTCCTATGAGATCTTGGTGGCAAAGGGGGCGGAGGTTGAATAGGAGGTATGTGGCTAGGAGAAGGAGGAGGTGGCATAGCAGCACTAGGACTTCCACTTGATGATGGCATACCAGTTAAAGCTCCCATTACACCTATTGTACCGGAATTAAAGCCAAAATGATTCTGTGGTTGATGATGCGGAACTGGCAAATGACCAGGTGATCCTAACTGTGGACTGCTACCTGGTGAGCTGATCGAAAGTCCCGACATACTGAGAGGACCTGGTGAACCTGGAGGTTGAGCTGTACCTGTATTAATAGTAACATACATCTACTATCTACCTAAGCATACTACATAACAAAATAAAAATAATTTTATTTAAAAGAATAAAATTTGTAAAAAGCGCATGCTAAATTCAGTATCATGGCATACGAACCTCCTAGTAGTACAGGTGCAAAGACAGTATGGTCCCCTACATGAGAAACTATAATATGTGAAGTATGTGGAGGAGTTTCTGGTAATTCTGGTGGTGGAGCTTCCGGAGGAGGATCGTGTAATCTTACACTTGAAGCTACAGCTTGCAATGGAGCTGGTAATTTGCCGCTTAAACTTCTAGCTTTAATGCCTGGTGATTTTAAATTTAAGTCCGGCCATTTACGAGACTATAAAAACAATAATTAGTATAGATGATATTATTATATGCTGTACTCTAACAATTTAAAAAGAACTTACGACTCTAGGAGGTTGTCTACAACCTCTGGGTTCTACTTCTAAACTTTTATTATACAAATAATTGCTTATATCAGCTTCTTTCATATTAGGATCAAAAGGTGATAAATTCTCAATAAAATGTCTTATTCTAGGCTCCACTAAAAGACAATACGGCTGATTTTGATACTGCTGAATTTCTCCAGTTATTTCTGCTACTTTTCGCCGTTTACTAAAATTTATAAGTTCTGGACTTCCTCGTAGATAATCCGGATTACCTTCTTCAATGTGTAAGATGTTGGTCAGGTACATGCCTATAAAAATTTATTTATAAAAATTTAATCAAATTAAAAAAATTTAACAATTAGATTTTATTCCTCATTATTTACCAAAAAATGGTACACAAGGTGGATTAATAGATCGTAATTTTTCTTGATATTTTCTAAAATGACCATTATTTAGTTCTCGAGCTTCTTCGAGAGCTTTTTCCAATCGTGCTGGTATTTGCTATAAATATAATAAAATTTATTTACTTCTTATGTATTAAAATTAATTAAAAATTTTAACATAAGAACATACTTGAAATGTAAATTTTAACCTAAAAACGGATGCAGATCCCATTGCGCTAACAATTGCTAATACACCATTAAAGTTATTAAGATCTTGAAGCACCATCATAATTTCAATTGCTCGCGATACAATTGCGACTCTCTCTTCTAAATTTTCAGTTTCTACTATTGTTTTTTCCAGCCACCGTGTAAACTATAAAAATTAAAAATTAATTAAATTTTTTTAAATTTAAAATATGTAAGATGAAATATTACATACATTTGTTGTGTGCTTTATCATTTTTAGTAAATTAGGTGATGTTTTCTCTTTATCTTTCTTAGTCCATACTGATCCAACTAATTCTGAAGGTTTTACAGTTCTATACAACTCAAACTCTAGTAAAGTTAATTGTCTTGCTAATTCAATTGGATGTAACTATAATAATTAAAAAGTGATTTATTTTTCTACATAGTATAAATAATATTAATTATATTTATAATATATTACTGTTAATATTCCCCATTCTTCTTCAGGAACTTTTAAATGCCACTCAATAGGTGGTGGAGATCGTTCAAAGCTAAACGTAATAGGTCGTTGTTCTGAAGGTTCACATTTTCTTTGCACAATTTTTATTACTGAATCTACCCATTTTCTCATTGATTTTCCACTTACTGTGTCTAAAAATGATTGTAATCTTTCTAAGAGATTTCTATCGCGTTCAAAATCATAAAAATGATGATCAACCTGATATAAAAAATATTTAAATAAATATTATAAAATTATAATAATTTAAAATAACTATATTAAAATTACAAACCCAATGTCTTAAAACATTTAAAACTCTGAATTGAACAGGTTGACAAAATTCTTTTCTATATCTTTTCCAATCTTCCCTAACAGTTGTTTTACAACCAGAAGATTTTTCTTCCTCACCATAAACTAATGATGGATCCGGTATATCGAATCTTTCTATTAATAAAGTCAATAGTTCCTGTGGTGAGCAAAAACTCCTACAAAAAGAGAATAAAAATTTGTAAAAAATTAATTTAATAATAAAATTTAATAAAATGTTATATAAATTTTAAAATATTTATGTACCTATAAGTAGTAAGGAATGTTCGTACAAAAGCTGGATCAGCATATATATGATAAGTTAATCTTTCTACCAATTTAACCAAAGTTGCGCCTTTAATTAATAGTACACCTCCATTTTCTCTCGCTTCTAAAACAATATTTTCTGAACTATCCTGTTCGGCAAATTTGTATAAATGTGGTGGAGGTAACTTTAAAGGATGTTTCCTTTCCTCATCTAAAAGGATACTGTCCAAAGTTCTTTCTAACATACTCTTTGTATTCAACATTACAAGATCCGCCATCCAACTATTTTTATCTTCGACAGATTTGGCAACAAGAATAACATTAGGGTGGTCCCTTGGTGCAATTTCAAAGGCATTTTTTAATTCTGAAAAATAATTATATATATTTTATTATTAAATATAAAATTAAAATTTAAAAAATATTGAGATTATAATATTTTTTACCTTCAGTATCCTCTCTATCAATAATATCCACTTTTCTAATAAAAAATCTTTCTTTTAAGCGCAGTTCACCTTGGTGAGCTGGATGACCCACCACACCAACAGCTGCAACGGTAACGCTAACCCTTTTACCACCACTTGGTTTACAAAGAACTAACAAACCATCGAAAAGAAGCGCTCTTCGTTCTGTTAGTCTTCTTCCATTACTTACTTTTCCCAACATGTCCTCTATATAAAAAATATATAGAAAATATACTGTTATTAATTTATATAATTTATATAAATAATAAAAAAATAATAATTATATATATATATATTTTTCATACCACGTATAAATTCATTACAAGATTGTCCAACATCTCTTTGATCCCAACCATCAACAGTTTTTTGTAATTCACTAGTTTTTTCTAATGCTGCTTGCCTTCTTGCTCTACTCTGCATTCGTAAACCTGTATCTTTTTTTGGAAGACTTGCTGTAGATTGTAATAATTCCATTTGAAGTGGACTTAAAAGACCTTGTACTTGTTCCAATGTTTCACCATCTTCTATATTTGGTGTACGTTTCTGTAATACCTAAATAATAAAAAATATTATTCAATTATTAGAATAATATATATAATAATATATAACTATAAAATTATTTTTTATAAAATATACCTTTATATAATGAAAATACAAAAAACAATGCCATACTGGTTGTAATAAAAGTTTTGGCAAATAATATTTGACAGCTTCTTTAAAACCATGTCCTGCTGCTCTTAATGCAGCATTAGCTTCAGGTCTCGATAATAAATTCGTTAAAACTTCTCGACAAGCCGGACTATTAATATCTTTTGCATATCTAATATTAAAATTTGCATTAATAATTTTAACCGATTATATTATTAATTAATAATTCTATACATACTTTATATAAACATCAAATTCTGCTGCTTCTGCTAATTCTTCAAAACATGAGCCAACTGTAGGTGTTTGTTTTTCTTCTGTAATTTCCATTATATCTTCTAAACTACCAAGTAATGTTACAGTAACTTCATAAATATCCATAATATTACTAAAAAGTATTTCAATTTCAGATTTATCTTGTGCTAATTTTGCAATTTCTTCCCGAAATACCTATTTAAAAAAGAGAGAACATTATTTTTCATTTAGTTTAAATTTTTTTACTAAATCAATTATTTTACCTTAATTATCATATGAAGTTCACGTAAATAATGACGTTCATCATGTATAAGATCCCGAACAGATTCTTCATAAGTTTGTGAAACAACTGCACCTAAACCACTTTGTGGACCTTCTGCATAATCATCTTGATAAAATAAGTCCATTAATACCTATTAAGAAATAATTAATTATTTATCAATTGTAATGTAATTATTGATACATTTAATACAAAAATGGCATAAATATGCTTTTTAAAAATTAACATTACCATATCAGCACACATTGCAACCCTTATATCTTCACAAGATATCTCCACATGACGTATGTTCTTGACATAATTTCCAGCTAACTGAAGAGAAAATAGTCTTAAAGATTTTCAGGAGTTAATGTTAATAAGCAATATTAATAAACAATAAAAAATATAAGAGCTTGAGACATTATTAATAGAAATAAAATATTGACAAAAATAATTAATGATAGCCTTTACCAACCTTCAAAATATCTGCAGAAATATATTCCAAAACTCCTACCACAAAAAGACTAACTTGTAAATCAATTTTTTGTTGTAATACTTCCTGTTAATATAAAAATAAAAAACTATATTTGTGAATATATAAAAATATGCATAAAATAAATTTAGTATATTTTATTACTTTTTGTAATAATTGATGGATTTTGTCAACTGGAAGAACTAATGGTGATTTCTTTTTTCCCTTTTCCAAGGCATCTCTTGCATCTCTGAGTGCCCATCTATCAATAGGTGTGGGAAATGTACGTCTTACTCTTTCTTCCACATCTTGAGGTGTATGCGGTGGAGGATGACCACACAGCATTCCCAACAGCCTTAAGATTAAACTCTCAACATAGTCTAAGGCATCTTGTCGTGCTTCAAGACTAGGATGTACTTGCTCTAATACCTATTTTACATTAATTATCTATTATTATAATAGTTATCATATAGAAGAAAAAGATTATTTAGAAGATTTAAAAAAAACAAACATATTATCCATGATTTAAAATTGTTACCTTTTTAGTCATACTTATTTACTATAATTATTGACATAAAGGATATTGTGTATGCAATATTGTTTATAATTAAATCATATTCATTTAATAATTAATTTTAGGATACATGGATATTATTGTTATTCAAGTTATTTAATTATTTAAAATAAAATATTTAATAATTATATCCATATTTAATCATTATCATTTTTTTAATACTTAAACAATACTCTAAATATCATTGAATTATATTTTTAAGAATATATGTGGAAGAATAATCATTGAGAAGATAATTAAAATAGATACATAAAATACTTAATATGATAATTAATGATTTGAAAAAAATCTTCTTTCTCAAATAAATTTTTCATTAATAACTTACTCTCATATAAAAAAAAAATAATTAGTATATTAAATAACAGTATCCTTTATTCAAGATACAGATACAAACTGTTTTTAACAAAGTTGTATTACAAGAACATGCAGTGGTTAATTTCCAAAATATTTATTTCGTATGACGTATATGAAACATAACATTTAGATGAATCCCAGAATCGAATATTATTGTTACGCTCTTGGGACACAACAAGCTTGGTGGAACCTGAAAGGGCACAAAATACTCGCATGCATATCGCGCAACAATGACAATAGAACGAATCGACGAAAGCTTATCGAGGGCATCGAAGCATAGTGAGACAGAATCATTATAAATTTCGTATTATAAGATTCGAAGAGAATACCTTGCGTAGGGAGTTGACAAATACTCCCTTCCACTTGGCGATGTTCTCTTCTTTCTGAAAGTCGTAGCCTGACGGCTCGCCTACCACTGACGCCGGCGACGAAAACATCTCCACTGTCACGTCCCCGGACGTGTGTGGATCCAGCGACCGGCGGTAATTCGGCCCGCCACCGCCAGATGTCTACAATTTTCTCGCAAGTGGTTACTCCAATACACGTTTCTACAAATACAAGATCCAAGCCTAACCTCATATTTCATGCATATAAGGCAGAGATCAACAATTGTGCCCAACCAATAGAACTAAAACAATACCTTTCTTCCTTTTTTTTTTTTTCTAAGAATTCCAATTTTGTTTCTTGATTTTATAATTATTCCATGTTTTCTAATGCCATTAATCCGACCTTTTTAGGGCGTGGTTGGCAAAAGTTTTTAGAAGTAAAGAAAATTCCAACTTCGTTTTCGGGACCCTAGGGTTTTCCAGGACCTTTGACAACACTACCACGTTTTTATATATTCGTTCTTTTTTTAAAAACAATCACGCACCTGATAGAATGTTAGCACTATAAAGAATAAAATACACTCCGGAGAGTTCCCGAATTTTACAAACAGCAACATTTTGTCGGGAATCACAAAAACTTGACAGAGACGTCTGTCTGTCCGTCAGTCCGTTTCTCAAGGCACAGACATCTCTGAATAATGCGACAACTAAGCTACTCGATAAAACTTCTCTAAGATTTGTACAATTATATCACTTATTAAATACATCTCCGAGGCTAACCCGAGAAATTTCGAGTTATACCGTTTATACATTTTATGCGATATTTTCACTTGAATTTTTGTCAGAACTTAGTATGAATACCACTACTATCAAAGAAGACCATTGCGCGACTCGCATCGATCGATAACTGCGATAATACTGTCTTTAGCGAGATTTGCGATTTCGAGATATTTCACTATTATAATATCGATCTTGACAATGAAAAATTTTTGAAATCTATATAGCAGATTTTTACAAAAAATCTATTTAATTTATATAATAGTCTAAAACTTTTTACAATCTATACACATTTTGAATTTTTATAATTATTCTAAAAATAATTTATATAATTTTTGAAATTATAATTATTTTAAAAAATGAATTGTAAAAGTTGTTAATATTGACGAAACATTAATCTAATAATGCATATTATTATACTACAAAAATTACAAAATTTAAAATATAAATTATAAATTTAAAATAAAAATGATATTTAAATAACAATAATATTTTAATTATTTTTTAAATTATTTTTAAATTATTTTTTAGCTACATTAATTATTAATAATATTAATAATATATAACAAGAGTTTGTACGTAATAAGAATATTGTATATATTTCAAATAATGCTCACTAGATGGCAGTAATGGAATCATTAGATATTTCATAAAACAAAATTTATGTAAAAAATATTATTTCATATAATTTTGTCAAACCTCATAAATCAGTATAATAATTATTAATAAATTTATTGTTTATTTAATATAATAATTAAATTATCTTTCTATTTTTATAAAATAAAATTATAAAATTTTATAAAATTTTTATAATATTTTAATATTAATAAATTATTAATAGATATTGATTATTATATTAAATATATTATTATTACAATTAAATTGATTAGATTTGTCATTAAATCTTAAATTTTTCTAATTTGTTTAATTTTTATTTTTATTAAATTATTTTCAATAATATATCTTTTATATATTACTTTCAATAATAATATATTTTTAATATAATATAATAAAGGTATATTATTAATTAATTTTTATAAAATTTTATATTACAAAGATTCATAGTTAATAGTATATACTTTAATTTTCGCGCGAATTTAAATGTTTAAGGATTCGTACAGTTTCAGCCAATCATAAAATTGCTTACAAAATTTATGCACATGGTGTCAGTCTAGTGTTGAAAATCGTGAGGACATGATGTGTTATACTGATAGAGGTGAGTAATTGCGTAGAATTTCTATTGATAGGCTATTATATTACGATTTATAGATTATAAGTAGTCTCATGTGATTAATATATATTTATTTAATTATATATTAAATATTATTTTATTAAAATTGTATTTGGAATCTTTCTTATCGTATTACATTGTTTATTTATTTGACATTTAAAATTACCGGTAATTTGTATTATAAATCTTTGAGTCACGACTTAAGTTAAGTTATTATTTTATTTTAATGTAATTTTAATTTTATACATTTATTTTATTTGACAATTTTGATTTTTATTTTTAGAGATTTAATTGTCGAGATGATTTTGAAGATATAATAGTTCATGTATACGCCATAATGATTGGTAAGTTTTTATTTATTTTAAAATAAAAAGATACAATTACTGTAACTTTTTTTTATCTTCTTATACGAAATGAAATAAATTATTATAATCAATTTTTTTTATATCTTTTTCTTACTTTCATATATATCTTTCTTCTATTTTTACATATATTTCCCAAATGCGTATATCTATCAAGTCATATATTATTCCTATATTTATTTGTTTTGATATTACATTCAAGTTTGAAAACATTTCTTATAATAATTTTTTTTGAAGAAATTGGCGATTTGCATCATATTACTCTCGATATATTTCGACTTACCACCGATGAACATTCGAGTTGATGAACAGAACTCTCTCCAATTTGTAATTCGATATATCGAAATCATTATGCAAGATGCCATTCTACTATCGAAAATTGTAACGTTCGGATATTTTTCTTCAGGTGAGAGACTTATCTTTATAATAATATTCATTTCCATAATTATTTCTTTATTTTTTACTATTTTACTATTTTATTAATACGTATTTATTCAATAATTTATTGAATATTTCTATAATTGATTTATTGTTTCATTTTTTTTTCCTTCATTCATTTATATGACTATTATATGACTATAATTATTAGAGTTAGTACTTTTTATTTTAAATTTTTAAAATAAGCATGATTTTGTTTAATGCAATATATTGTTTTTTGTTTCATATATTTTATATGATATATTTTATACATTTATTTTAAAGATTTGATTATATTATGTGCAGATTAATAATTGAATGCTGAGACACTTTCATGGCGGGAAAAAAGGATTTCAATATGGATGCCAAAATAATCGATGTAATAATTTATCTTTTGTTTTTCACAATCTTTTACAAAGAATAATAGTTCGATTTTTTTTAAATCAGAAACAAAATTTAAATTTTGTTAAAATTGTTGTTTAAAAATTTAAATTTTTAATTTCTTTTTATTATTGATTAATGGTGTAGATTAAGTAGTTTAACATAAATATATTAATTATTGGGAATTCTAAAATAAAACTTCAAAAAAATAATTTTTTAATAGTATTTTTTTCACAAACGCTCGGAAAGAAAAAGGAAAATATCAAAATAATATTTTTTTATTTTTTTTTATCTTTTAATACAGTTTTAACTTATTTTAGAGAATATTTATGATCGCGTGCAATACGATCTAAAGTCAATGCTTGTTCGTAACAATGTTTTCAATATTTTCTTAAACAATTTAATTTAATTATATATATGTACTTTAATTTAATTTAATTATAATAGTTATTTGCGAAATTAAAGCCAGTTTGTTTGATTATAAATAATATTTAAATAAACATGTTAATAGTTTTTTTTTCATTTGTAAATATTCATTTTAACATATTAAAGCCAATATATTAATTATTGTAATGTTTAAATTAAATTAAATTATAATGTTTCATTTTTTTTTTTATAGTTTTCATTTTTTTCTATTGCTTCTTATGGGTTACTCAACATGGATAGCATTATAGATTCTTCGCATCTATTGGTGAGTTGCATGCATTTTGATTTTTTTAATCACTCAATCATGTTAGAATGAAAGATCCGAATTGATACGATTGATTATATAGATTTTTTTCACGAATACAATGACTGCTATTTATTATATCTATAAGTAATAATATTTTTTTTCTGTGTTTTATTTATTACTTCAAGCTAGATTTTCTTGTGCATCGCATTTCTATTTATGAATATATTTTTAAATTCATTTTTAATTTCATTTTTTTTTTGATTTTCAAGGTTTTATGTTCGACATTAAATTTATTTAAAAATGAATTAATTTTTGTGTAAAAAATTGAGATGTCATAGTTAAATAATTTGCGGTAATCTTTATAAGATAACTGTTCAAAACATCTTCATTTTAATTTTTCAAATAAACTTATAAAATTTTCAACTTTTAATTGAGTAATTTGGAAATTTTTTAGGATTATAATTAAAAAAAAAAAAAAAAATTAAGAAATGTTCATTTCACTTATAATTTTAGAAATAATAATTTATATAATAATTAAAAATCGAACATGAATTAAAATTTTAAAAGTAAACAAATTTGATTTGTATTTAATAAATATTTATTGTTAATAAAAAAAATCTAAATTAAAAGATATCTTACAAAAAAATTGATATTCGGTTTGTCATTACATTAAATAAATAATCGTCCGATAATTATATAAAGTATATAAAAGATGATGATTTTTAATGAAACTGATTCATGATTCGATGATAATTTTTCACAACGAGACGATACATCAAATTTCTTTGTTTTCTTCTTTATGCCAGGGTCATCCTTTTTTGACTTGATGTATCTTCTTAGACAAATAATAAATTCATTCCAATATTATTTGTAATTTTCCATAGTCTCAACTGCAAAGAAAAAAAAAAAGATATTTTAAAAAATATTTTATTTTATAATGAATAATTTCTAAATTATTTAAATTATAAAACTAGAATGACTTATTTAAAAAATAATTGTAAAGAATTAAGAATATAAAGGAATTCAAAATTTCTATGTTTTCATTATTCCAACAATGTAAACAATGGAAGTCGTTTACGAAGGACGGAAAATATCGTTATTATCTCTTGTTTTTATACCAAACCTCCCTGATCCACATTGGAGAAAACAACACAACATTTATTATTTTAATTGTGCAATGTTATCGAGACTTAAAATATCAATGAAAAGGCAAATCAATCATTGCAAGTAGGTCTCTACTATTTTGACTATATCTCAATACTACAAAGATCATCGAGTTTATCTAGCGCTACAATTTACAAATTGACAATTTTCTCAATGAATGTTATAGCATTCATTCGAGATTCAAAATATTTTTACTCGATGCAAATGTTTTGAACGAGGATGTAATTACATATTGCATTTTAAAACATCATTATCGTTGATAGCAATGAATTTAAATTTTGTTTATATTATTTCTATTGAACTGTGACATTTTCATAATTATTTTCACAAAATTTTATTTATTGTTATATTATCATCGAATGAAATATTGATTTATAAATTTTCCCATAAATTCTTTTCTTGAAAAGGAAAGGTATATATAAATACATTATATACAGAACTCAAAAATTTGCTTCCAGAATGTTTCTCGCTCGTTTATCACCATTTTCGGCAATATTTAAAGCCATTTATATTTCTCTAGTATAAGTCTCTCTTATCTCAATTTCGACAAGTTCTTATCGTAAATATGAAAAATACTTGTCACTTCAAACAGACTTAAATCAATTAGATCCGCATTCCATTCCTCGAGTTCCGCACAGTAGGCATTAACTATAGTAATTCCATTTATGATAACATGCGCATATACCATTGGAAGAATCAATCAAACCGATACGAGTCAATTCTCATTTCTCAGGTATACAATATTATACAAGCTTCTTATTACAATTTAAAAAATAAAATTATCACTATTAATTTCACGATACATATTTACCACGTAACGTATTGTCACAAGAATCGTGATAAAAATTTTTTTCGTGGTCTAACATCTTTAAAAACGAAAAAAAAAAGGGGGAAAATCAAGGATTAAGGAAAATGGAAACGCGTGCCCGCAAGAGTAATCTCCAATTATTAGACGTGGTATCGAATTATTTCTGATGCAAATTGGAACGATTACGAAACGGCCGTGAATGATAAAAGTTCGTCTCGGTTCAAATATATATATATATATATATATTTATATATTTATATATATATATGTATATCAAATATATATCTGGGATAACATTACGTTTTTCTTACATCACGTTTACGATCCTCATGCACACGTTCTCATCGCGAATTTCGAATACGTGAATGTGATCTTATCGCGAATGAGGAAGATAGAGAGAATGGAAAAAGAAAAAAAAGG